TCTTTTTACGCCCCATAGAGCTTTGCTCCACAGCCTTGCTCCAGAGGACCAAGGTGGTAATCCGACAGTTGGCCGCGGCCGGATCTACACGCTACTCTACGCGATGCAGCCGGCCACCGAGAACCCAGCTTGTCAGGCCCGTTCCTGCACCCACTCACCCACTTACTGCCAGTCCAATTATTAAGATTTTAAGGTTGATAGATGCGAAGATTTCCAGATATTGAGGTTTTGAAGATTTGAAGGGCTGTAAGATTTAAAGCCAGGCCATTTTCAATCCATTTTCCATCAATTTTACTAATCTAGAATTTTCAGATTTTCAGATTGTCGTATTTTAAGATATAGATCCTTAAGATTTCAATATTTCAGTATTGGGATTTCAATATTGCCTTGAGATTTTACGATTTTAAGATTTGACAGTTTGAGGAAAAGTTAAGATTTCAATATTTTAAGATTTTGGAGAGTTATTCCAGCTCCATGTTCCACCAATTTTGCCATCAATTTTCCATCAGTCTTCCATCCACGTCTCCATCAATGTCCCAATAATTTTCCAGGACAGCGCCACACAGCTGCATCAATTGTTGCATCCCTTTTGCGAGGGGATGCGTAGTGATGATTATCATCATGGCTGCTGGAGATCCTGGGAACGTCATCATCCCTGCTGGAGATGCTGGGGGTGCGTAGTGATGGTTGCATCTCTGGCAGCGATCATGATCACCATCGCTACGCATCCCCGATATTTCCAGCAACGATGATCATGATGATGATACTCATCGCTACGCATCCCCAGCATCTCCAGCAGCGATGATGATAATCATGACTACGCATCGCTTGCATGTCAAGCCGGGTCAAACGGGACACTTGAAATCTACATAGAAAAGAGTTGAAAGGACGAGTCATGACTTGGATCATGAGGGTGATGCTTGTGATTGCCCTGATGATAACCATCACTACGCATGCTTAGCGTCTGCAGCAGAGATGATGCGTTGGTGATAACCATCACTACGCACCCCCAGCATTTCCAGCAGCGATGATGATTCTCCTGACTACGCGTCGCTTGCATGTCAATAGCGGGACACTTGAAATGTAAATAGAAACGACAAGAAAAGACAAGTCATGACGAAGATCATGAGGATGGATGATAAGCATCACTACGCATCCCCAGCATCTCTAGCAGCGATGATGTTAACTATCGCTACGCATCCCCAGCATCTCCAGCAGCGACTACACATCGCTTGCATGTCAAGCCGGGTCTAACGGGACACTTGAAATGTACATAGAAAAGAGGATCAGTTCCGGCGCCTTTTTTTCAACATGATTCACAAAACTCCGGAACGGTTCAGAAGGGTTCTGGAAATTCTAGATGCAACTATTTGAATATCCGCGGAACGGTTCTGAACAGTTCCGGCACTTCGTCAATCACGTGAATGCACATGGCTCCGGGATGGTTTAGAACGGTTCCGGGCAAACTAAGTTGAGTTGCACTTACCCCGAAATGTATCTACGGGCTTTAGTCTTGCATTTGGTCTTGGTTCGCAGTCTATTCAAGGTTGTTGCAGTTGAAGTTGTGTTTGAGAGATGTGCCAGTTGGTAAAAGGCAAACTGTAAGCTAGTAGTTTACTGCGAGCTACAGTAAATTCCTGTAAGTTGTAAACGTGCAGTCTACACACTACAGCTACAGGCTACAGGATGCAGTCTACAGAAAACCAAGGGCCAAAAGTCAAGAGTAAACTTGAATCAAATCACAAATCGTAGTTTGCTTACTCAAGTTCCGATAGTCGATTTCAAAGTTGAAGCCGGCCACACCTGCAACTCCGGCTTCAACTGTTTGGACCACAACACAAAAGGCTGGTCACGGCCGAGGGCGGGGAAAGGGAGAACGGACCAACGAGTCACGCGCCAACCACACCAATGCCAAGTTCTTTCTGGGTTTTCCGAAACCTTTGTCCTTCAGAGTTTCTTTTCCGGGCAATGGAATCCTGGAGGTGGCGCGAAAATTTACGTGAAAATCGACATGGCCCCGGAACCGTTCTAAACCGTTCTGAGCCGTTCTGAACCGTTCTGAACAACCGCTCTAAAACATCAGGGAAAACCAAAAAACAACCGAGAACCCCCGATAAAGCAAAAACAAAACGTTTGGCAAAATTATTGTTTCACATGTTTTTTTGCTTTTGGGCCTTTTGGATGATGTTTCTCGATGTTGTTCCTCATAGTCTCCACGTGGTAAACAAGCACTTTTTGCGTAAAATTCTCAGAGCGTTGCAAACACTGAGGGTGTTTGTTGATTTTTCACATTAAGGGAATGCAAGTCCAAGAAGGATTCCGTTTTGCTCCAAACGTCGTTCTCATGACAAAACACACGAACACTGTTGATTCGTCTATTTTTTTGAGGCAGAGCAACAGAGGCAGTTCATGGGGGGGTGGCCATCTCTATATATATAGATGTATGTGTGTGTGTACTTTCTGTATGTATGACCGTATGAATTGCGCAGCCCATGCGCAGGCGACAGTGTGGGCGGCCATGTTGTCGCCTCAGGGTGGTTTGCGGGGTTTGGTTTGGCCTTCAAACATCCCAGTTTCAATCGCTGGATAAGTTAGGCTTGAAGGGTTGATGCCTGCGGTGGTATCAGCACGGCGGACGCTGGCGCGCTCCTCAGACCTGTGATGGCAAAACCACACAAGTGTATGCAAGGCGGTCGCCATGAGCGGTTCAGCTGCGGGCTACAGCAGGGTGGCACGGTATGCCCAGGACGGATAAAATTGATGGCATGGGTCATGCGCTGCGCAACTTGTTCAACATGACCCAACTCGCTGTATGTCGTTTAGAGGAGTGGCTGGAGCATGAAGAAATGCGCCTGGGTTGTTCGCCTGATTTGGCGCTCTTTTCCATCTCGCGGGTGCCGCTCTTTGTATTTGTGTTTGCAATTTGCGAACGCAATCCGTTTGCAATCAAGTTCATGCCTTCTCCGAAGGGCTTGCACATGCTGAGCGATGGCCGCGTCGGTTTGCCCATGGGGTGCCATCGCCTTGTTTAGCGAAGGAGACGAGTTAGCGCGTTTTCGTCCGTGCGAGACTGGTTGCGTGCTAGGTTATGTCCCACCTGTTGTCGCACTGGCGCTGGTCGATTGCGGGTGGTTTTTGTTCGGAGCCCTTTGGCAAGGCACGGCTGAAAAAGTGCAATTCCCTACTTGTTTGGTGTTGCCTCCAGGTTGAGCAGCTTCTTCCACGGCTATTGGTTTCCCCAAAAGGGGCATTTGCTGCCAATGCCTTAAGTGACGACAGAAAACAAAATGCACATAGTTGTTGACACTTGACAGGAAGGAAGAAACCTCGCAGTTTCAACAATGGGCGACTCCCTCAGATTGTATATTGTCTTTGTTGTTTTAGATGTTGTTTGGTGCTGTATGGGTGTCGCAGATTTTTTTGGGTGAGTTGAGGTGCGATTGATTCTCAGCCCAGTCGCATCGGCATCACCGCTCTTTGAAGCGAGCGCACGGCACCCAGAGATGAACTTAAGGCACCCTAGGGCTTTGGGGCCGCAAATGCACGCAGGACTTGGATCATGTGCGACCAGCTTTCACGGAGTCCCTCAGCGACAAGCCGCTTGGTAGATACGAACAGAACTGAGGCATATTGGCTTTGACATGTGCATATCACTGAGGCATGTCGTGTTCTGCATTGAGGCCAGAACACCATTCGCTGGCTGTGTGAGGGTGCTATGGGCAGGATGTTGCCGGATCTTTGCGGAGGGTGGAGACAGCTTTGTGCAAACGCAGTGGGCTTTTGCTGAGCCGACTCATTGAAATCACCACAGCGCAGTGTGCCACACTTTGCATGACGTGGGGCTCGGGAAGACGCATGGATGGAAGATGTGCCGAGATGTGCCGAGGTTTCGGGCACTGCACTCCATTGCCTAGCTTTCCAGCTGTGCGCAGCAAACCGGCAAAGTTTGAGCAACTGGCACCCGATGTTGGGGCCTTAAGGTTTGAGTTTCATTCTGAGGCTTGTGCTGAGGGCATTGTAGTTTTGCAATGTGGAATTTGAGGTAGAACAACTGCTCAAGAGTCGCTTCCACCATGACTTCTTGGCATTGGCTTCATGCGGAATGTGAAAAAATACGCATGTTGGGCGCCTTGTTCACCTTCACTTTTTTTTTTTTTTAAACCTGGCCTGGCCTGATAGCAGTTGCTTGGCATGCAGCTGATCACGTCAAGGTTTCTATGGGGTTTGGCCGCTCAGATGCCAATGAAGACGCAAATGTCCACAGTCCACATTCCATTGCACCGTGTAGACCGCCAAAAACATACAGGAATGCACAGGGCAGAATTCACTCACATCAGAGATAGCTTCTCGGGGCGATACGATGTGTGCATAAGTGAAATTGCTGGGAACTTGGTAAGGCCAACCCCAGGTGAAGCGAGGGATGTTTGACCAAGGCCAAAATGAAGGACATGGAAGCCAGACTGGAGCATGCCATGAGGCAGAATCAGCAAATCCACATGATGCTGAAGGACGCGTGCACTGCAACTGCAACCTCTGGGTTGCCAGTTTGCAGGAAATTTGTCTCGATCAACCTCGGCAGCGTGTGCCCTGCCGTGCAACATCATAGGGAAGATAGTTTTTCCATGGTACCTCATGGTCGCCCCCAGCCGTCAGGTTGTGAGCCGGCCATCCTCAAGTGATTCTTTGAGGAGTCCACGGGCGACTCGGACCCCTAGGACCTCTGACGTGGTGGCCCCAAATGATGCAACTCTTGTCTTGGCGCTCGCTGCCAAGCTCTGAGGCAAGTTTCCGGCGAGACTTGGGACGGGGCCAACCTTACCCCGGTGTGGAGCAAAGACAGCCATGTCGAAGCCCTTTACAGTGCATCAAACAAAGGACTAGGACTTGCCTTGCGGTTTTTGGGTCTTCTTGAAATGCCAGCGTTCGTGTTGCGAGGCCCGGCAAGCCGAAACCCTCGCCAGGACAACCACAGTGGCCATGTTGGCTTGTGGTGTGTTGCTGCCACATACAATGCACCGAGGAGACGCGCAGTGCTTCGCCACTGCCTCGCCGTCAGGCACGCATCATTGGGGTGTATGAGTCGTATGAGTCGTATGAGTGTGGTCAGAAAGCCTCATGCGCCAGGCGCCCGTCAACGCTGGTTATTTGGCAGAGACTGCATCTTCCATGCAGCGAACGCAGTCCAGGCGCGACAGCATTCTGCAAGTCTTGCACTGCATGGCTCCCTATTGAACCGGGAGCCCCCACAACAGTGGGCGGATGGGGCGGTTCCCGATGTTTACAACATAATTTGTGCATGTGGGGTGCATTGAGTGCACTGCGCCGGTAGGAAACTGCGCACTCAATCTGCCGAGCCGAAGGCGTCTTGCTGTGTCAAACAAAAATCTATTGTGCCTTTTGTGCAGGACCAGCTGCCAAGAAGCAAGCCTTTGTCGCCTATCCGCGAGGCCTTGTTCAGAGTCACTGATTTGCGGATGGATCTATTGCTATGAGGTCTCCGAGAACCTGACTCAGGCCACTCAGGCCACTCAGCTTCCCAAGGCCGCCGGGCGCGTCGTGTCAGGCTCGTGAAGTCCGCGAAGCCACGGTGCTGCGGGACTCGCCATGGAACATCGCTGCCGATAAGCTCCAAAAGTGCCGGGCCCC